CCATGGGATGATGTTCAATCCACCAAGCCACACCAGCTGTGCTGAAGTAAGTCTTGCTCTGTCTGGTGGACTCTGCACAGCTGATCCTCCAAGGTAGTCAGAGGTCAGTGGTTAGTGGGCACAGCCAGTCCTTGCAGCTGATCAGCCTGAGTAAACCCTCCTATTGATGAGCCAACAGGAATCAAGACTCAATTACCACAGAAGGGTGTACAGTCCACACAGCAAGGGGTGGACACACCTTCAGTGCCCAAAATGGGTGATCAGGGAGGCTGTGTCACTGGACCCTATAGGATACCTACTACAATAGGCCACCCTACCAAGCCTAGGAGATGTAGCAACTCTACCTAATACATAGAAACAAACACAGGGAGACAGCCAAAATGAGGAAACAAAGAAACATGTCCCAAATGAAAGAATAGAACAAAACTCCAGGAAAAGAACCAAACAAAATAGAGATAAACAATTTACTAGATGAAGAGTTCAAAACATTAGTTATAAAATGCTCAAGGAACCTAGTGAGGACCTCAACAATATAAAAAAGAACCAGTCAGAAATGAAGGACTCACTAAGTCCTTCACTAAGTCCTTCTCACTAATCAGAGAATAATTTATAGGGAATGAACAGTAGAGTAAGTGAAGTCAAGACACAAATTATTGATCTGGAATATAAGGAAGCAAAAAACACCCAATCAGAATAGCAAAAAGAAAAAAGAATGCAAAAAAATGAGGCTATTTTAAGGAGTCTCTGGGGCAATTTCAAGTGTACTAACATTTGCATCATGGGGGTGCCAGAAGGAGAAGAGAGAGCGCAAGAAATTGAAAACCTATTTGAAAAAAAAAAATGACAGAAAACTTCCCTAACTTGGTGAAGGAAACAGACATATAAGTCCAGGAAGCACAGAGAGTCCCAGACAAAATGAGCCCAAAGAGGTCCACACCACGACACATCATAATGAAAATGCCAAAGGTTAAAGACAAACAGAGAATCTTAAAAGCAGCAAGAGAAAAGCAATCAGTTACCTACAAGGGAGCTTCCATAAGACTATCAATTGATTTCTCAAAAGAAACTTTGCAGGCCAGAAGGGAGTGGCAAGAAATATTCAAAGTGATGAAAAGCAAGGACCTACAACCAAGATTACTATATCCTGAAAAGCTATCATTTAGAATCCATGGACAAATCAAGAGCTTCCCAGACAAGAAAAACCTAAAGGAATTTACCACCACCAAACCCCAGTATTATATGAAGTGTTGAAGGGTCTTCTTGAAGAATCATTGTTCATAAGATCAAAAATATAAACAATATGCCCAGCTGGTGCAGCTCAGTGGATTGAATGTTATCCCATAGACTGAGGTCCCAGTTTGAATCCTGGTCAGGACACAAGCCTGTGTTTTTGTCTCACTCCCCAGTAGGGGGCATGCAGGAGCCAGGCAATCGATGTTCTCTCTCATACAGATGTTTCTATCACTCTAAAAAAAATCAATAAAAACATTTAAAAATATATTAATAAAATGGCAATAAATACATATCTACCAACAATTGAATTTACAAACAAAATGAACAAGCAGAACAGCAACAGAATCATAGATAGAGAACTTTTTGTTGGTTGCCAGACAGGAGGGGCGTTGGGAGGATGGGCGAAAACAGTGAAGGGATAAAGAAGTACAAATTAGTTGTTAAACTGAGGAAACTTAGAGGGAAGTGGGGGAGGGTGGGAAGAGATAAACCAAAGAACTTCTATGCATACATGCATGACCAATGGACACAGACACCAGTGTGGGGAAGGCAGGAGGGGGACAGCAGTGGGGAGGAGGGGGTCAATGGGGGAAAATAGGGGACATCTGTAATATTTTCAACAATAAAGATAAATTTTAAAAAATAAAAACGGAAATCATTTTCAAGGGCTCCACACCCATCACAGAGAGTCTGGAACTCAGCTCAGTGTTCATACACTGAGCTGGCCAATGCTTAAAGTGTATAGAAAATAAACTTTTCCTTTGACCATAATAACTGCTTTGGGATTTCCATCATCTCCTTTCAGGAAACTATTTTCCATAGTTTGTTCTCTCTCCCCAAAGACATCTTAAATGGATCTGGGTTTTCTTCATAAATCTTCACTCGAGCACCATGGAATGCTGTGGAATTTTACAAATCAGTTGTATCAAATCTCTCTGTGTAAACAGGGATGAAAGTCCAGTGATTTGCCCCGTGCTCACTTTCCTCTGAGAACCCTTGAGCAATCCCTGCTCCCCTCCTGCCTCTCTCCCTAGCCTTTCCCCAACAACCCTCTCCCCCTTTCATTCAGATCATCTTTCGGTCAATAGATACTTGTTTTGAGTGTCTACTACATGCTGGTCCTCATGGCAGCAAACACTAACAAGACAGACCAGGCCCCCCACCTAGCCTGACGGTGCTCAGAGTTTGGGGCAGAGTCTAGGAAACCAGAAAGACACACAATAAACAGTAGCTACATTTTGGAATAAGTGCATAGACAGGATGATATAAGGTGATCAGGAAGGAAGGCCTCTGTGAGGAGGTGAGTTTTAGAAGTTTTAGTCTAAATCCATCAGGTGATGGGTCAGGGGAAAAGTGTTTCAGGGAGACGAATCAGCAAGTACAAAGGCCCTGAGGCAGGAAAGAGCTCATTAGGTTTGAAGAACTGGAAGGTCACTGTGTCTGGAGCCTGGTGCACAAAGGGGAGATAAGATGAGATAGAGGCAGGACTGGGTCTTGAGAGATCTTAGATTGTGGTAGGGAGAGTAGGTTTTGTTCTAAGTGCAGTGGGAAGCCTTTGGAAGGTTTTAAGCGATGCCTTGACAGTTTGTGCTGCTAGGCAGAGAATGGACTTTGTATGGAGGGAGGCATGGAAAAACAGGGAGATCCATTTGGGGACTAGCAGTTTTCTAGTTGGTAGAAATAGAGGCAGAGGGGCAAACAGTCATAAGGATGGATGACCAAGAATTTTAGGGGTCTGGGGATCCCAGGAGAGGACTTCTGGACAGTAGGATAAGCGGAGCAGGGTTCCTTAATGATGGGGCCCTAGAGTGTAAGGGAGGAAATGAAACCCCAGCACTTCTTCTCATGATGGGTCGTTTCCCTTCCAGGGAGTTTCAGCTTCCTGATTCGAGGGCCCTTGTGAGGATGGAATTGGGGGTGGTGGTAAATAGTATTGGGGAGACTTGCTTTTCCCATTTTGGAGTCATCCTCTCAGCCTCTCTGGGGGCAGAGCTGGGAATGGAGAGTTTCTGCTCCAGCTCAGAAGCATCTCTGTACTAGCAAGGTATGGAGTCAGTGGTTCCCCAACTTCACCCCCTAAGACAGGTACTCTGCTTCCTCCTTCCCACCAGGAGGCTTCCAAGGCTTCTGCTAGATGTGAGCTCTTGCAGGCAGGGCCATCCCTCCCTCTACCACCCAAGGCCTTTGTAGGGGGGGTAGTCAGTAGAGCAGACTCTGCTGAATGGAACAGCTCTCTTTTGGCTGAGGATTGGGGGGCTGAGAGGTAGGAGCAGAGGAGGTGAGAGACTTATGGATTGAATCTTGCAACATACCTGAGAAGAGCAGCCAACTTCCACAGTCCTTCTTCCCCATCTATTGCCCTGTATACACAGCCCACAAGCTGTCATTAAAAAAAATTTTTTTTTCCTTTATTGATTTTAGAGAGAGAGGAAGTGAGAGGGAGAGAGAGATAGAAACATCGATGACAGAACATTGATTGGCTGCCTCCTGCATGCCCCCCACTGGGGATCAGGCTCACAACCTGGGCATATGTCCTGACCGGGAATCGAACCGGCAACCCCTTGGTGCATGGGTCAACGCTCAACCATTGAGCCACACCAGCTGGAGAAGCTGCCATTTTCTTAACACCTGCTCTGCTGATGGCTTAACAGGGATCATCTCAATTTTCATACACTATCCCAGGAGAAGCATATTATCCCAATTTTGCAGATGAGCACAGGTCTACACAGTTTGGGAAATCCAAGGGACCCCCAAAGCAGAGCCTAGGTCCCTAAACTGCTTCTTCCTCACAATCTGGGCCTGAAGCAGGATGAATGGATTAAAAAACAGAAACAAAAACAAAACGAATGAATGAAGGGGCTTGCGGATGCTGGGGGAGGGGGACATCAAAACAAGATGGAGCCCCCCACCCCAGCCCAGTTGGTTAGAGCATGTCCCAGGTGGCAGGTTCCAACTCTTGCCAGGGCACATACAAGAAGCAACCAATCAATGCATAAATACACAGAAGAAGTCTCTCTCTCTCTCTCTAAAAATCAATCAATAAATTAAAAAAAAAAAAATGTCTGGCAGGTGTGGCTCAGTGGTTGAGCATGATCCCATGCACCAAGAGGTCCCCGGTTGGATTCTTGGTCAGCACACATGCCCAGGTTGTAGGCCCGAACCCCAGTGTGGGGCATGCAGGAAGCGGCCAATCGATGTTCTCTCTCATCTATGTTTCCGTCTCTCCCTCTCACTTCCTCTCTCTAAAATCAATAAAGAAAAATAAAAAAGAAAAAGAAAACAGATGGAATCCTAGCCTTACCCAGATGTGGCTACTCTCACAGGGTCCAGGGCGAAGGTGGAGGAAAGGGGATTGGGGTCCCAGGGATGGGTCTGAGGAACGCAAGGAACGTCCCTGTTTGGCCCCCAAGGTAGGCGCCCCGCCTCCCTCCATGCCTAGTGCCCGGAGGTTCTAGTCTTCAGTAGGTGCTCAACAAAGAGCAGGTGAAATTTTGGTGCGTCCGCAATCCTGAAGTCAGTGGGCACGCAGTGAATGTTGACAAACGGGTACTTCTCTGCGGAAGCGTCCCTATGCGCAATGCAACCCCACCTGGCTCATGGGCGGTTCCCTGCTCCCACCACCATGCACGCCCCTCACAAGACCCCGCGGAGCGAAGGAACGCCCGGGGCGGGCCTCTGGGGGCGGGGCCGAGGGGACCGAGGGGCGGGGCCGGCCCTGCCGGGGTCTCTGCGCCGAGCCGGGAGGACTCGGGCTTTGAGCTTCGCGCGAGGAGGTAGGCGCGGATGCTGGAAGTTCATATCCCGTCCGTGGGCCCGGAGGCCGAGGCGCCCAGACAGAGCCCAGAGAAAGGCCACATGGTGAGCGGGGGCAATGGATGGGAAGGGGCGCGGGGACCCTCTGGACTTCTTCGCGTCTAGCCCAGTGGATCCCACGTCTTGGGCTGGGACGACCGGGTGCGGCGGGCCAGGCCGTCGGGGGACAGCCTGCCGAGGGTCACGGGGCGCTTGGATTTGCCAGCCCTGCGGACGGTGGTCCGCGCTCATGAGGGAGCGGAGGGCAGGCTCGCTCGCCCCTTCTCCCGAGAGTGTGGGGAGCGTGGGAGGGTCCCCGGGGAGCGGCTGCTCTCCAAAAACCCTTTGTGCCTTTAAGCGCGGGAGGGTGGGCGGTCGCCCGGCGCGGAGCCTCACACGCACCCGCCTGCTCGCGCCCGGCCGGCAGGTGTTCCGAGTGGAGGTGCGGTACCGCGGGCGCAGACACACGGTGCAGAGGCGCTACAGCGAGTTCCACGCGCTGCACAAGCGGGTGAGGCGGCGCCGTGACTGACCAACCCACCCCTGCCCGGCTCCTGCCCAGCCCCGGGAGGCGGGCAAACGAGCTTCACTCCCCGCCTCTGCTACCCTTCTTACCACCCCACTCCCTGCAGGGCTCAGGTCCTGGGCACTGACCTCCCCACGGCCGAGGGGAGGGCTCGGCGGGGCAGGACTCAGCGGGTACTGCCCATGCCCCTGCGCAGCCGGCCCACCCTCGGGCGTCTCGGGTGTTGGGCCCTCTCTCGCCCCAGCCCTGACCCCACTCTCCCGGGGCCATCCTAGAGTAGAGCCTGAAGCTTTGGGGGTGGGGAAGTGGGGAAAGACTGGGCAGGGCTCTTGCTAAGGTGAAGTGAGCTTAAGGGCTCAGTTGGGACACTGTGATCGCACCGCGGTAACCTCCTGGCAGATCAAGAAACTGTACAAAGTGCCGGAATTCCCCTCGAAACGCCTGCCCAACTGGAGGACCAGAGGATTGGAGCAGCGGCGGCAGGGCTTGGAGGCCTATATCCAGGTGAGCATGGGTTTCACTCTGTTGCCCCCTAGTCTGCTGGACTAGAGATGTGACTCAGAAGTGCAGGGGCTTGGGGTGAGGGGGGACGCACATCTTGGGCATGATTTTTCCTACCCCGAGCCTCAATTTTCTGAACAGTAATTTCAGAATTAATTGAATTCAATTGAATTTGAACTTTCATTGAACTGGGACCACCTGCTTCTTCTGCAACCAGGAGGCAGGAGGTCCCAGTTCAATGAAAACTAGTTATTTTCCCCTCTAGGGTGATATCCTGTACTGCCCGCATGATGAGGATGTAGGACAGGGACCCCTCGTCCCCACACAGGGATGCCAGATTACAGGCCAGGGTGCTTCATGGGCATATACCTATGTAGTTACCCAGGGCCCATTGTTCAGAAGGGCGCTGAGTTTGTTTTCACTCTGGCTGTCTTGAAATTCGAAATCATTTTGGTAGGACCCGTGTTTTCATTTTGCACTGAGCTGTGTGTCACACAGCTGGGTCTGATACAGGTTTTCTCTGTCCTCCTTTCCAGGGCGTCGTATACCTGAACCGGGATGTGCCCAAGGAGCTACTGGAATTCTTGAGTCTTCGGCACTTCCTCACAGACCCCAAGGGCAGCAGCTGGGGGTGCGCACCTCTAGGGGCCATAGCTTGGCATGAGAGGGGCTCCAGTGTTGTGGGATAGGGGCTCTCTGCAGCAAGCAGGTGAAGGCTTTAGAGACCAATCCGTTCCTTCTCACATCTGCCTGGTCCTTTCACCTTGATATGACCACCCTCGTCAGCTTTCTTGACCTTGGGGGAGGGCTGTGTTCTGTATAGCCTTGGTTACCCCAGCCAGCCTCCGGAACTGAGCTTGTTAGAAATAGCAGCAGTGGCCCCCTGGGAGGTGAAGTTCTGGTCTTCCTTTCTCCACCCCTTCCTCTTGCTCCCCTGGGCATCCCCAGGCACTTCACACTCTTTCTTCTTTTCAGAACCATGGGGGAGTTCCTGCCTAGCGACAGCAGGCAAGTTAAAGCCCCTTCCTGCATCCGCTGCCCCCTGGTGGCCAGAAGCTAGAAGGCTGATCTGCCTCTGGCTTGTCTTGCCATCCTACTGGTCCAGGTTTTCCTGTTGGTGCTTCCTGAGACCACTGCCTGCCTAGTCACCTTTTTCCTTGTGGGTCAATGGTGATTTCAATTCCTAGTCTCTACCCAATAGGAGACTGTTCCACCTCATTCTGCACTGCTCAAACCCTTTTCCCTCCTAGCTCGCAGCTGCACCACCGGCCAGTCATCAGCTTCAGCATGGATCCCTACATTTGCATCTCATCCCCAGGTGAGAGGGTGCCTCTGACCTGTAGGTCATATTTAGGGCTTAAGAAGTAGGGTGGGAGTGGGAATGCACTTGACATTTCTCAGTTCACAGGACCCCTAGGCAGCATCTCCCTCCTACTGCCCTCCTTTTGGGACCACACCTGCCCTGCTGCTCCTGTGCCCCTGTAGCCTGCTCTGTATTCTCTAGGGAGCAGACATGGTGCAGTAAGCATGGCTTCTCTGGTCTGCATCCCTCACCGGTTGGGCTTTACCAAGCTAATGTGAACAGAATGTGAACTGGGAATGCCCAGGTCTCATTTCAGGTGACCAGTTGTTACCTGCTGCCTTGGCTGGGGCTCGGAGCCACAGGCCTGAAGCCAGGGTCATCATCTCACACCTCCAATTCCCCTTCCTCCTGCTTTCCTCGTCCCAGAGCCTCTTCCCAATGTGGTGGTAAATGGCGTGCTCCAGGGCTTCTACGGCTTCAACACCAGCACAGCTGACACCCAGCCAGAGGCTCCTTGTCACCGTGCACCTTTGCCACTGATGCCCTGACCAGCCCAGAGGCCTTTGGACCTCCTGACAGGACAGTCACGTGCCTCAGCCTTGTGAGCCCTGTAAAAGAGACACTGGCTGGGTCCCCCTTGGCTTGGACCCAGGACTTACCCACCCCAGCCTCAGAACTCAATTGCATGAGTGGCTGGGGGTGACAGAACCTCTGTACTCTAGAGCAGGGGCAATAGAGGATAAGGATAAAGGGAGAAGTCAATTCAGCAGGTAGGCTATGAAAAGGTACAAGTGTGTTTCTTCACCTACACCAAGGAGGCAAGCAAAGGTTGAGGCATAGTAGCTGGCAAATTCGAGAAGTAAGAAGCAAAAGCTCGACAGTCTGTGGGTAGCATCTGCGAAAGGGTTCAGGCTGGAGCCCAAGGAGGGGACAAGCACCCACTGCCACAGGACGTAGTCTAGGGCAGAGGTGCCGCAGGCCCAAGAACCCAACCCACACACAAGTTATAAAAAACCCCACCATTTTTTTTTTAATTGGTCAGTGTTGGTAGAAGTTTGTTACAAAACTGGGCCTGTGGAATGTGAGGGGAGGGGTCCACTGTCAGATGTCAGCACTAGAGCCAGTGCAGCAGAGCCCTGTGGTGGGCTGTCTTCACCCCTGAGAGGGCAACAGGGCCAAATACAGTCGTTCAAAAGAAAGAGGTCCCTTGGGCCCTACTCCTTGGCAATGGCAAAGGGCTTTTCCACCTCAATCTTGCCACAGTCTGCAATGATCACATCCTTCAGGGGCTTGTCCCGACCATCTGTCTTGGTGCTCTCCACCTTCCGTACTACTTCCTGGGAAGGAAAGGCAGAAGCAAGAAGGCAGGGTGGGTTGGGGGTCCACCACTTAAGGGAGACAGGCCCCAGTGTATGGCTGGGGAGGACGGAGGCTCCCGTGTGACCAGCAGCCTACAAACCTCGAGGCACCAATATCCTAACAGAACCATTGCCAGGTGCCAGCCCAGGGCAGGGAGAGCCCAGCTCTGACAAGAGGATGCAGCAGTTTGGTACTCTGTAGTGTGACCCGGTTGGCGAAGGGTGAGGAAGAAGAGGGTGGCTGGGGTGTGGGCACCAAGGGCCCTGTACACCTCAGGGCGGTGCCAGCACACCACAATGAGTGACGGAACAGAGGTCCCTGCAGTGGTACAACCTCAATAAGGCCTGGCTGGCCTCTGCCTGGAGCCCACAGCGTTTCAGGACTTGGGGACATAGAGAGGCAGTCTCTTTATCCTTAAATCCCCAGGTTTGCAGACATGAACACTGGCCAGAATTTGTGGTTCCCTTTTGGGAAAGGGATAAAATATAGGGATCCCTGGCCACAAGGTCTGTCACATCCCTGGTGAGGGTTGCCTAAGTTTAGCCCCCATCTCAAACTCACCATGCCCTCTAGAACTTTGCCGAACACTACATGCTTGCCATCCAGCCAGGCTGTCTTGACTGTTGTGATAAAGAACTGGGAACCATTGGTGTCTTTACCGGCGTTGGCCATGCTCACCCAGCCGGGCCCATAGTGTTTCAGCTTGAAGTTCTCATCGGGAAAGCGTTCACCATAGATGCTCTTCCCTGAGAAGAAAGACAGAGTAGGTCAGGGGAGCTGTGCAGGCACAAATAAAGCAGATCTTTGGAGTCTCAGCCTGTCCTGTGCCAGGCCAGGCTCAAGTGGTCTACAGGAGTATAAGATCTGTCCCTTTCCTACCCTTTGGACTTTGCAGCCAACCCATGCTGACAGACCAAGTGGGATATGAGGCCAGGTTGATTTAGGCAAACTCACATGATGGATTACTTTGAGAATGTAGTTTCTATGGCTTTTAAATAAGGCACATTAACAGCTAGCCTAGGCTATGGCCTGAGAGACCTGCATGGAGGGATTTTGGTGGGGATAGATGCTGTGTAGCGTGCAGGGCAGGAGATTGAGAATCCTCCAGAGCCAGGCCAGCGTGGCTCAGTGGATTGACCATCCCATGGACTGAGAGATCCTGGTTCAATTCCCGGCCAGGGCACATGCCTGGGTTGGGGGCTTGACCCCTAGTAGGGGGCGTGCAGGAGGCAGCCAATTGATGTTTCTCTCTCACATCAATGTTTCTCTCTCTCTCCTTTCCTCTCTCCACCTTAAAAAAATCAATAAAAACATTAAAAACAAAACAAAACCTCCAGAATGCGCTGGCTGGTTTGGCTCAGCAGTTAGAATGTCAGCCTGTAGACCAAAGGGTCACAGGTTCAATTCCCAGTCAGGAGCACACACCTTGGTTGCAGGTTCGAGCCCCGACCCTGGTCAGGGACATGTAGGAGGCAACCAATTGATGTGTCTCTCTCACATCGATGTCTCTTTCCGTCTCACATCAATGTCCCTTCCGTCCACTCTAAAAAAAAAATCAATGGAAAAATATCCTTGGGTGAAGATTAACAAGAAAAACCCTCCAGAAAAGGAATGCTGTGACTGACCAGCTTTTCTTCCCGAGAGCACAAAAACACTGAGGTAGCTGCCATCTGGGTTCTGGAAAGCCAAGAGCCTCTTATCAACCAGTGAACAGAAAATAAAAGGTGGCAATGAATGTGTGTAAGTGTCCCTCCATAAGGGGTCTGGGGCCAGGGGACATATTCGCAAAGCCATTTCCTGATGACCTTGGCCTGAAGTGATTCCTTTGATTGTCAGGAGCCCAGAGCAGACAGTTTCAGAGATCCTAAGACATAGGAGAAATACTACCTCCTTTTCCTAGCTCCTAGATTCACACTGTGAGCTTGTGAACTAGAGGCCATGAGTAACCCAGCAATAAAGTAATTTTCATTTTGTTTTACCAAACACCTTTCAAAACTCTTTTCTCCTCTTCAGCACACCTATTTTCACTCCTCGGTTCCACAGAATGGAACCAGGTTGGGAAATTTCCTAGACTGATGCTAATCAGAGAGATATTTCTGACTGTGCAGCAAGTGGGAAGAGACTGAAAACAAAGAATTTTTAGACTCTGGCTTATGGGACTGGGGGTGTCCAAGCCTGTGCCCCACATCTCACTGCCATGCGATGACTCCTGGCTGGGGTGTCAGCTAACAGCCTGCCCATGTGAAAATCCTCTCTGTAAATTCAATCAGCTGCAGGATTTCAATTACTGCTGCTATCCAGACAACCCCCAAATCCACATTCTTTGCTCCATTCACTTTCCCACGATTCTTAAAGGGAGAGTTCTGCATGTTAAACTCAACATACTTCATAATCTCTCCCTCTGGACATCAGATAATTTCTCTGCCAATGCTTCTTTCACATACTGCTCTTCCCACTCCCATTTGTTCATTCTTTCTTACTATTCTGCCCCCACAGTAATGATGGCTACTGCTTACAGTGGTAACTGCATGCCAGAGGAACTGTTGCAAGCATTTTACACATTAAAAACCCCACCCGATGAGGCAGGATGTAATAACCCTATTTCAAAGATGAAGAAATGGAAGTAGAGGTTAAAGGTACCCAAGCTAGGAAGTAGCAAAGTTGCAACAAACCAAGGGGCTTTGGCTCTCAAATCTCTGCTTTTGCCTACTAGACCATCCTTTCCTGGGGCTCCAGCCCATATCACCCTACCCAGGGACACCTACACCCATGCCCTCACCAGTCTGCTTGCTCCTGCTTCCATAGCCCAAATCCTGCTGCCATATTATTTTCCCTCAAACTCCTTCATGACTAGTATCCCTCCCCCCATTCAAGTTTTCAGCAGATCCTCACTCCATGCAGGACTAAGCAGTGCGCTCTACTTCCATTCCCAACTCCACCTTTGGCCAAGTTCCTGCCACAGAACATAGCTGGGCTCGTAACTTAATCGTGCCTCTTCTTTGCCCATTCATATTCTCCCTAGCCAGGACCCTGCTCAAATCTTTCCTCACATTCACAAGGCCATTTCCTGATGATCTTGACCTGAAGTGATTCCTTTGCTTGTCAGCACTTCAGAAATGGCTGACTTGACTTACCACGTACGTACACACTCAAGATCTCACCCAATCCTCACAGCACCCATAATTCGTACCTCTCTTACTTTACACAAGAGGAAAATGAAGCTCAGACGACTCACTTGCAAAGCCACAAAGTAATAAGGTGGCAGACACTGGTCATACCCAACTGTGTCTGACTCCATGAACATAGCACCTTGGATTGTCTGTTTGGCCTTCTCCACTGCTGCCTGCTGCCAGCTACTACATCCACCTGATGCCCCATTACACCTTACATGGTTGTGTAGTGTGCCCAGTGTTTTCTCCTAGTTCTTCCCACCAAGATAATAACTGGAGGACAGAGCCTGAGTCCTAAAGGCTGTATTACAGCCAATCTGTGAGTTTTCAGGTACTGGAAGTGAAAAGGAATTGCTGCTGCACTGATTTTTGTGTCCTTAGCACCTACCAGAGCCTGGCCTAATAAATACCCATTGAAGGGGTGAGCTGCACATGCAGTCTGAGGAACAGCAGGCTACGCACCCCAGTACAGTGAGACGTGTGGATTAGTTCAGGATATCTGTCTGTTCTGTTGACAAGTAATGCAGAGGGGAGCCTTGGTCAGCTCTTGCCAAGTGGTCTCTTGTGGGAGATTGCCAAGGAAAACACCTTTTCCTGCCCTCGCTGGGGCTTCTGAGGTTGCCCACACAGGCTTTGCACGCCTCTCCTAGAATCACCTAACTGTGTATTTTACTTTGCTTCCCTCCCACCACGAGAAGTCACCAAGGCTGTAGGCCTGGACTAGTAAGTCTGCCAGCTGGGCAAGATCCTCTAACATCCACCTGATGCCCCATTACTCCCTCTTCTTTGTACTGTGTTTCCTGTATTAACAAGGGTACAGTTGATCTCAATGCAGAGACATCTGCCTCTGGAACTGGGGAAGGAAGGAGCCTTGTCTACCCAACACAGCAGCCCTCCCACCTGGGATGCTGCACTGCCAGAGCCCTCTGCCCAGAAGACCTCGGTTACCTCCAGTGCCATCTCCCCGGGTGAAGTCTCCGCCTTGGATCATGAAGTCTTTGATCACACGATGGAATTTGCTGTCTTTGTAGCCAAATCCTTTCTAGAAAAAAGGATCAGAAGGTAAGGTGGCACAAGGAACCAGGCAGGAAACCAGCCCATGACTCCTGCTCACAGAAGAGACATCACTGCTGGTCAGAGTCATTGTTCAACATGATATTGAGCAAGCAGTGTCCACAGGCCAGGCTCAGAGCACACAGAGCCAGGAAAGGCTAGACTTTACCTTCTTCTGCCTTTGTACAATTCCCAGACTTCATATAATTCTACATCACATAATGCCTCTGCCTTTTCCCTCTATTTTTTCTCTAATTATATGAACAGATGCAAGAAAACTGACCAAAAAAAAAAAAAGGTTATCTGGTGACCCACTGAAAAGTTGGAATATAAACTTTCTTAAATGTGGCACTCTTGTTTTCTTAAAACCTGGGAAACTCTGAGCCCCTCTGGTGCAGAGGCCACAAACTATAGTTTCTACAGACATGATTTCTTTGGTTATTGCAGTGTCTTAAAGATAATTTTCTCAAAAAGAAAAATCCAGATTTCTGGACTCAGTTAAAAAAACTCAAGATATGATGGTACTGGGTTCCCCTTGCCAACAGGGCAACAGTTAGTTGGTACTGTGGGTTCCTCCTATAGGTGGGCCATATTGTGCCATCAGTTTGCTGCCAGCCCTACTTGCCAACTTCACTTGGTTTGAACTTGACTATCTCCACTCTAGCCACTTACCTCTCCAGCCACTTACCTCTCCTGTAGCTAAGGCCACAAAGTTATCCACTGTTTTAGGAACAGTCTTTCCAAAGAGACCTATGACCACCCGGCCTATATCTTCATCTCCAATCCGCAGGTCGAAGTACACCTGAGGAAAAAGAGCATTTTAAACTTAGACTCTTTAGAGGAACCTTGCTAGGGAAAGAAGGGCCCAAGAAGCTACCTCGAGGATGGCAGAGAAAACGGCCTTATTTTAAAGCAGTGGCTCTGAATCTGATTTTGGTGGTGACAAAAACCCTATGAGAATCTAATGAAAACTCCAGGTCCATCTCCCAGAAAACACGTCCACACTCTTAGACTACAGGGTGACAATCTTCCCAGGCTCTAGAAAAAAACAAAAAAACAAAACACCACCCAAGACTCAACTATATTGCTGTGCTTTGCGATTGGAAGTGGCTATTTTGGCCCAAGTAGAGAAAAGATTCACGATTTGGCAGACGTGGTATTTCATTTCTGCCAGCATTGCGGGTATTTGTAAATAGACTTCTCTCAGGTTGCCGGGGCCGGCCCCAGCTGGGCATTCCAGGGAGGGGTTTCGGGGAGGGTCTGGGTCATCCTCTGGTCTGAATTGAGGACCGCTCAGGTCACAAGGCCACAGCCCGGAGACTAGGGGGGAGGGGCTGGGCCAAAGCCGAGGATACGCAGGCCCGAGCTCCGGGACCCCAAATGCCTCGGTCACCAATGACCAGAGGCCGGCGGGCCTCGCCAGGCAGGTCTGGAGAAAGGAGGCCGGACCTTGACTGTGACTTTGGGCCCCTTCTTCTTGTCATCGGCAGTGGACGGTCCCGGCAACAGCAGGAAGAAGACGGAGGCCACGATGAGGGCGGCGGCGAAGAGCACCTTCATGTTCCGCTCCGAGAGGCGAAGCATCCACCAGGAGAAGCGAGCACGGCCGGGGAAGCCGAGGGCCGGAAGAAGGGGAGGACACGGCGGCGTGGGCACCGGCGCCGCCACCGAGCGCGGCCGCGGGGGAGACCGGGGTTCCTGCAGGCCTCCGAGAAGGGGGAGGGCCTCATTTCCCCCCTCTGGGCCTGCGCATGATAGTAGGTCCCCCTGGGGGGCGGAGCCCCGTTCGCCGAAGGGGCGGGCGGGGACGCGGGCTCGTGGGTGGCTGCCACGTTACTGCGGCTTCATTGGCTCCCCAGCTCTTTAATGCCCACCTACAGGAACGGGATCTGCAGAAGGCGGTGCCCATCAAAGAGCACAGGGATTGGGTTTCTGAAGAAACTACAAAACCCGGCATGCAAAGCGGCACGTCACGTGGCCCGACCTGCCGTGGCGGAACTGGAAGTCTTTTGAGGGGCGGGGCGATACTTTGTTAGGAAGTGCGTGGAGGGGGCAGAAGAACGCACGGTTATCCGTGTTGAGCCACGGCTAGGGTTCAACGAACGTATAAACGAACACTCAGGGCACGTTTATGCTTACCCAGCGTATCACCTTATAAAGCTCCCTGCAAAACTTGCTTCAAAACAACCCATGTTTTGACTTAGTCTCTGTCACTTTACTATTCACTTTTTTCTCTCCCTTTCTAATCTTACCGTGCTTACCGCTGCATGAGTCAATGCACACTCTATTGTATGCTGTGGTTTTCAACTTCCTTTCTTTACCTATTTTCCCAAGTAACGACATGCACTTACTTTGTATATAGCTCCCCAAAACTGCTGCAGGACTAAGTACTCAACAAGTAATGGTTATGATAGCGTCCCATTTAGTACCCAGATGGGAAATAATATATACAAGGGCCTGAGGTTTAGTCTCCCTTTTCTAGAAACCTTCAGAAAGGTCAGGGATGGTTGTTAGATGCCCTCCCAACACTATTTCAGGTATTCACACACACTTGGCGTTCCAGTCTACAACATATATACTTAAGTACTGGAAGTCTTACACCCCAAAATACATCTTTCCAAAACCTGGACCTATGACATTATTAAACATCTTTAAAACTAATTTTCAAAGATTTAACATTATAGAAATTCCTGGTCTTCACAGCCCAGATTGTAGGTAGGCATGGCTCAGTTTCTATAGCTAAACTCTGCAGTTTGCTCTCTATATGAAGTGCTGACCTGTTTAAGGTTATGCATGGCCACTGGCATTTTAAGACAATTCTCACAAAAACACAAATGACATTTGCTATTTCTAATCTTCATACCTTAATCCAGACCACCTCAATCAGACGGAAGTTCTTCTAGATAAAATCATTGCACTGCCTAGCTGGTGTGGCTCAGTGGTTGAGCATGGATCAAAAGGTGGACGGTTGGATTCCTGGTCAGGGCATATGCCTGGGTTGCGGAGTTGCGGACTTGCAGCCAATCGACGTGTTTCTCTCATCGATGTTTCTCCCTCTCTAAAAGTCAATAAAAACACATTTTAAAAAATCATTGTGCTGACAAAGATGATCTTCCAAACATCTCCCCTCCCCTTAATTATTTGTGAAGGCATGTGTCCTGACCAGGTATTGAACTGGGGACCTCTTAGTGCATGGGTCAGTGCTCAACCACTGAGCCAGCCACAGTGGCCAGACAGGTCCGTGAAACCTTTTCTCTCACTCAGTGGAAAGCATTTTTCCCACTGAGAAAAATGCTCACCAAATTATATTTTCAAAGTAGCCTTCTCAACATGAGGAGCAAGTGCTAAAATGGCATAAAAACAACCTTCTCCACACCTGTCCCACAACTTTTGGAAGAAAAAAATAACGTTGATGGATAAAATGCTCATGTGAAATTTTTCTCTCATATATATCGTAAACGTTTTTTTCCCTGCTCTTACTTGACTACCAGTGAAAAAAAAACAAATCCTTGAACAGTAAGTGACAAAAACACCTGCAAGCAGCCAATCATACCCAGACTGGCCGTTGTTTTTGTGGCCAATATATACCCTTGTGAGTTTATATTGCACATCAGTTATACCTCCTGTCTGTATATATGTTCCTCATTAGTGGAGTAGAATTATAAAATTCTATCTCAAAGTTGTTCCATAGAGCAGATCCTAACTTCTTAGTGTTCCACCACCTAAGAACCAAAGGGGATACTGGAACTAGTATGTCAGTGGTGAATGTCCAAATTCTGCCAGGAATATTTATTTTAGCTTTTAACATTTTTATTTATATATTTCTCATTGATTTTTAGAGAGAGGGGAAGGGAAAGGGAGAGAGAAATATAGATGTATCACATCTATCAGCTACCTCCTGCAGCCCCCTACCAGGACTGAGCCCACAACCCAGGCATGTGCCCTGACTGGAATGGAACTGGCAACCTTTCTGTGCATGGGGACGATGCCCAAACAACCAAGCCACACTGGCCAGGGCAGGAAAGTGACCCACAAGAGAAGGCAATGTTCAGCCCAAATGAATGAAGAATGTCAAGTATCAGACATTTTCATTCACCAGAGGCTTGAATCATATCCAAGTTAGTCCTAGCTGGATTCTTAGTTATAAAGGAGCCTTCTTATACATAAATATAAGGCAATCAATCACCCAAGCAAAATTAGCCAAGAAAGGTAAGACATTTTATTTTACATACAAAAAGGGTGCAAACTGAGTCCTTTCCTCCCCAAATTGGGGAAGAGGTATACTTAAAGATCACATTTGTGTTTTCCATGGTGCCCTAGGAAATAGGCTACTCTGAGATAAAACATCAAGACCCATTTTCCATTTTCTCCAAAGAAGGCTACTTCCTCTGCAGAGGAGCTTTACCTAATGATGTTACAAATCTCTCTCCTGGAGGAAACATTTTAAATACACTTGCAATTGACATTCATGTTTAAAAATACTACAAGTTTCATTTTCACAGCTGAGCTTTGTGACCAGTGCCAGGGTTTATGAAACATTACACATAGAAAACAACAGGTTAAAAAAAGGCATTTAACAATGATCACACACATCCACACATCAATTAAAACCGATTTCCACAGCTGATTTATACATTATCTAAATTGCAATCACATCCCAACATCTTTTTTAAAGTACAATGGGCAAAGATTAAAGAAACAAACAAAATAATAAATTAGAGCATGTAATATATATCCAATGGGAACTGATGAATCAACATTATCATCCATTGGGGGAGATTATAATATTTTTGGTTTCATCTCTATCTTTTCTGTTGTTTACTCTTCTGCTTGATAAATGGGGCTCATTCCCAGAGCCAGCTCACTGAGACACTAATTTGAGCTCATTCCTTGTTTACTTCCTAGAATATTTAGGAACAAAGGGTCCCAGCAGCTGGGCTGAGTTCTGATGGAAGTGAAATGCACACAAATGAGCACACACACAAGCACACAAATGCAACCACACATAACCGTCTGTAAATATATTTTCCCCCAAAGAAATGGCTCATCTTTCCTGAGACATTCCTAACAAATTGATAAGCCTCTTAAAAAAAGCTTTCGGTGCAAGGGCTGGCCTGGGATTTGGTCTGGAGCTCATGAAGAGGAACACTGAAAATGTCTCACCTGCCCTGAGAAGGGGATATGTGGGGAAGGGGCAGTGAGGACAGCTGTCCTCTTGTGTTACTGGGATGACTGCACTGCACCCCCCTTTATTACCAAGTATAACCCTCTGCGCTGAGACTTTGAAGGTGGTGATGGCACCGGAAAGATGATTGTGAGTAGTAAAGAAAGAAACTAATAAAAGAAGTTGACCACCGAACTGAGGTTTCTTAGTAACATCAAGTTTGGTAATCAAACTAGAAATATATGGAGAACACGTTCACTTTTTCCTTTGTAAGCTGATCTACAAATACTGGAGTGGACTTCCTGGTTGCTTTTTGAGGAAATATGTCAACCACTACTGTCTATATCCAGGGAACCTACTTACTATTTTGAATACAATGAAGAAACCTACTCTTTTGCACTCAGTCACCTGCAAAAGGAGTTAGGGCAAACATGTTTTTAAGACTGCTTGATTGATCAGACTTCTAAAATTTCTTATTTGTGGCTAAAAAATTGCTCAAAACTCTGCAAGCCCTTGGAAGGGCCAAGGTTTCCTCTTACTCAGATATAACCCCCTTCCCCCAAAAAACCCACAAGAAAACAAAACCATAGGAATCCCATTTTCCTACTAACCCATCATGGGGAAGACTGAGAGTCACTGTCCCTAGAAGGGTTTTGACTGGAGCCCTGGTGTCGGCAAAAGCAACAACCCGAGCCAAGTGCCTGTTCCTTTCATGGCCAATCCAGATGGTGTGCCTAGTGATCCTGCTTCCCCAAGGATTTCTGCAGTTTATTTGCCCACCTTGGGGCAATGGTGGGGATGGTGGCAGTGAACCACAAAAGCAATGTTGTCTACACAGCGCTGCAAGCTCCCACCCAGTCTGAGAAACTCTAGCCCCAACATGGTGGCTCCGACACTGGAGATAACATCAAGGCAACTCGCTGGGGATGGAAAACATGTTTCAGTATGAATATGGAAGAGGTAACTGGGACACAGGAGGCATGTGGATGGGGGAGAGGTGCTTCAGAAGAATGATCAAGTTCTTTTGAGAAGATGCTTCCTAGGCTGCCATGGAAGTACTTATTTTTGAAAAATGCCGGCCATGCTTGCTCACTCGGAGGGGGTACAGAGTTATATCTTTTGCATAAAAAGTTAAGGCTATGATTTTTAGTAACCACTCTGACATTACCATCACTGCATATTTATAACATTGGAAGTGATTACTAACACTGAGAATCAACACTGAATATGTACTACCAGTGTACATTTCCAGTGAACTAAGATGGAAGTTACTTTAGAGGCAATGGACACCTCTTCTAGTAATGGCAGGGGCTGTTTCTATGTAGTTGGAGTTCACTGAGAATTAACAGGCATTTAACACTTCAAGAGTAAACCCAAGGATCCTGCTCGTCTATTGCCCTGCATTCCAAAATAAAATGAAGCTTTAACTGGAGGCCAACCTAGTCACCTGCCTTGTACCTTTCTAGACCTTGTTTACTCCTAGACAGATCCAAAATAGCAGGAGACTGTTAAGGCAGTCATGAAAGCACGCTGGCTGCGGGCACACTCTGCCCATCCTTGCAGAGCAGTCTGGAGTTGTGACCACTGGGAAATGCCAAGGTGTGTATAGCAATTTATCAACCCTAACATGCTTAGACTTCACAGACACAAGTCATGCTCTGGTCACAAAGGAAGGGCCCTTTATGCCTTGGTGGAATCCTCGCCTGCTTGTCTCAATCTGCTCAGGATGCAATGCCTAAAGGACTACAGGGCTTGGGAGAACTCCTAATAGCATATTATGTTTTTGTAATGAACAGATGCTGTCAGTGCTTAATGCTAACTCAGAAACAAGTGCATCAACCCCAAAGAAAAATATCCCTAGGTATCATGGCTGTGAAATGAAGAAAGCATAAAAACTACAGAGCAAGTGGATTTGGGTGGGTGGTGGATGCAGGTAGTGCCCAACCCCAAGGACCTGGCTGATGTGTACTGCTAAGCAACTCCAGCAACAGAGCAGAGGAGGGAGCCCTGATGTGCTGGTGGGGATGGAACTGATGGCAAAATTACTGCTTAGGTACTTATTTTTTCTTTTTTGGTAATTTTCAAAGAAAATCACAATAGAATTTCTCAGGGGTCTGGGGCCACCTTGAGTGCCAATGGCCCTGAAAAGATCACCATTACCCTGCATGCCAGAGGGACCTAGGACCTTCACCTTTGTTATGAAAATCAAATATCTAGCAAGAGATTGGGGGGGGGGGGGGCAGAGAGTGAAAACAGTGCATTAGGAAGACCCCCCCCCCTCACAACTGCTCAGGTTTAACCCCTCAAGAGCTGGCCTTAAAAAAAAAAAATTAAGACCAAAAAGTCACAAACCCAGCTGCAAAGGGGCTGGTCATTGCCTTTGCTTTTTTGTGGAAGCAGGGGGTGGGGAGGCACTTAGTGGGGTGTGGAGCGCCAAGAGACTCCAGGTTCTGCCATCATTTCCCCTTGCCTTCCCCCTTGAGAGGCAAGGCTTTTTCTATACGGGTATATGGAAGTTTCTACACAAGTTAGAGTTGCCACCAATTGAGAAACTATGTACGTTTCAGTGATTATGCCTTAACCACTAGATAATGTCAGGGAAACAAATCCCAATATTCAAAATCCTTGTGGGGAAGGGGTGTGACACTGTGTCTCCCAGCTACTCAAGTTAGTATACAGAAAAATTTCTTTTAAAGAAATGGAAGATTTCAATCTTTATATAAACTAAGTTTGAAGCCAGGGAAATGATATTTCCTGGCAAGGCCTGATGGAACAGATGAAGCTACTGCTATTTCTGCTATATTCATCAAGGAACTTGTCAGGAAATGACAACTACCAGAAAGTATCCCCACACTCTTCAGTCCAAAAGACATGATTTTTGTGTTCCCAGAACCATCAGACTAAGTCACCAGCCACTGTCCTCCATGCTTAGTTCTCTCTACTCCCAGACATAAGACCTCATTCCCTGGTGTAAATAATCCTTTTTCTCCTCTATCACATATGGTCACTGTTTAGATAAGCCACTGAACTCAAATGAAAACTGAGCATGAGAAGGTAAACTCCATATATTAATAATTTTTTAAGCAGTGAATAAGGACCAAGACTCTTCATGTTACGACACCATGGTGGGAAGGTGGAGTATACCGAGGAGAACATGTTCTAGATGCATGGCCATCTTATTTGGAAGGAATCTATGTCTAAATGAGAAGATAATTTCAGAGCTTTCATTTCAGTCTCCTTTTCCCTGGAATTTTCCAGCATCAACTAATCTTACCATCCTGTTCACTGTTGCCCCATGTACTGAGTCCTCGGCCTGTTGCCATGGACCTGCTAGGAGGAGGTCTGCAGGCGCTTGGTTTCTGATAAGGCAGGCCGGCCCAAATGCTGTCACTCAGCTGCTGGGCAGATAGTACATACCAATTTTATTTCCTGGCCCTATGATGCCAAATCCTGAGTTTCCTTTGGCAGTTGCAAGGCAGGTTCACTTTCCTCCTCTTTTTGTCCACTAGTGGCAATATGGTTGTGGCTGTTTCATCACTAATTTTGTTCCCCAAAGTCATCAAGGAAGTCACATGGCTATCTAGTTGGAAGTCCCTGGCAGTGGAGGAAACAGATATTTCAGATTTTTTTTTAAAGTTATCTCCTTCTCTGGGATGAACTGTCTCTTGGTCACAGTCTGGCTTGGCTGGCTCATCCCATGTACTGGAGAGCTAGGCTGTCCAAACTACAGGCTGATGAGGTCAAGAGGCTCTGGTAGGAACATTCTTCAGTAGCTGAGAAGATGAATGAAAATTCAAGTATGTTTCCTTGCCAACCTGAGTATTTACTCAGAATGACATAGAGTTTGGCTTCTTCTCTTCTGGGTGCTGCCGACCCAACTCGTTTCATTGAGAATGTCCTCTGGACCATGTTCTCTCTGAATGGCTTGGCTGGCCCCATCCCCCTCAAAACAGAAAAAAAAGTATAACTCCCAATATAACCAGACACAATATGCATCTGCCATGTTTTTTGTTAAAAAAAAAAACAAAAACAAAAAAAAAACTAAAAGTGCAATAAAGTCATTTTTTTCCCATTGTTCAGAACAATCTGCATTGTTCTACTACTGACTGGAGAATAGAGTTCGCATGTCAAGAAAGCTAAGAACGCCAACACATGGGGACAGTAGACTGCAGATTTCTCACAGCTTGTGTCCTACAGTGTAACTTCACAGGAGGGAGGGAGGGAGGAACTGCACCCCGTGGCCAGCTGGGGATGGAGGCTGCGCAGGCACACAGGAAGAGGGAGCCGTACTGCCAGATCCGCCTGGAAGGTGAAGGTTCTTCTCCAGCTCAGGCCTGTCACCTTCCTCCTACCTTCTTGGCCGCACCCCCAGCCTCTTGAGTTCCTTCAGAAAACAAAGCCTTCAACTCACTAGCTTTAGTGCAGGAGAGAGTTGAGGGCAGGGCAAAAACCAGGAGTAAATTAAGGGGAGGGAAGAGAATAGTAGTCCTTGAGTTTTTGTGAATGACACCTTCACTGTAAACAATAGGAAGGAGAGTCAACCAGGTGGCCCCAAGGGCAAGCAGTGGAGGAGCAGCAGCTCTGGGACCTGCTCAGAGCCTCAGGCAGGTAGGGACAGCCATTGACCCACTGGGCCCTGGCTGCCCAGACAAGCTCCTTCTAGGGGCATCTGTTTTCTTCTTTTTGGTTTTGATCTCCACCCTCCCCTGCAGAGGAGTCCTTTCCAATGAGAAATGGCAGGAGCTGCAGGTGTAGTTGAGTCAGAGGCCCCAGGGTGTGAGGACTCCTGGGAGGCACTGGTCACTTGTGGCGCTGAGCAGTCTTCTTCCTTTTCCTCTTAAAGAAACAGCAGCACCTGGAGCACAAGGAACATTACAAGTCAGTGTGAGAGGCCTGCAGCTTCCAACAGACTTCTGCCTGCTTCTACTTACTGCAGGGGGTGGAATTTTGCCCCTGGCACCCACCCATAGGGCCACCCAAAATTTACGGTGCACATCCCAGAGGCAGTGTCTACCAGGAAAGCCAAGGGAAATAGCTGCTTCATTTCAATCTGCAGCTACCAAACCTAATGATCAAAATGCCATAGGCTAGGCAGGGCTGAAACAAGCATTTTTGAAAGAAGGATGAAGAAGGCTTATTTCCTAGTGTTAACACCCACCCCAGATGCCCCATCTTTCTGTAGAACCAAGGCTGGGGGACCTCAGGCTGTATAAGAATAGGCTGCACTGGCTACCCCTTGATATAGAGGGCAAAATTACTTAATGCAATTACAGTGGTCAGCAGATATGGAAGCTAAACTAAGGCAAATAAACCCCATGAAAGTATGATGTTTGGAACTCTAGGAGGATCTCACGATGCTAATGAAGGAATAAGAATTCTCTCTATCCCCATATCCCTGCCCCCACCCACCTACTTGGAGTAGGCAGGAGGAGTCCTCACTCTAGTAAGAACTGGTAGCCCAGATATCCTAACTGGAATTGGTACAGCCCACCCTTCACTGGGAAAGGATCGATGCCACAGTCTAGGAGCTGGTCACAAGGGGGCCTCCGGAGGCAGGTGCTCCTCAGCTTAGTTCCAGACACTGCTGCTGCTATACCAGACTGGGTTACAGGACTGGTCGACCCTGTTTAGGGTGGTGGTTGGGCCTGCTTACTACATGGCCCTCCAAGTGCTGCCTCCTGGGCAACAGCCATAGCCCTGGCATATCCCTAAGCCGTAGTATCCCCTCCTTACTCTGCCTTTGGAATAGGGAGCACCTCTTGCTCAGGCAGTGACTAGTCCAGAAGAGGCTGATGAAGGCTGTGGAACGGCTGGTGCAAAAGATATGTCCTTTCTAGGACACTGACACATGGGAAATGGGAAGGTGGTGAATGAGTCAAAGATGCCTGATGGTGGAGGGGAGGTAAAGGTGGAAGTATAACTTTATGAAGCTTTTATGGCCAGTTTGGCTCAGCGGTTAGAGCGCTGGCTCGTGGACTGAAGAGTTGCGGTTTGATTCCGGCCAAGGGCACGTACCTTGGTTGCGGTTCGTCCTCGGCCCCAGTAGGCCAATTGATGTGTCCCTCTCACATCGATGTTTCTCTCTCTCCCCCACCCCCCTTACACTCTATCTAAAGATAAATTAAAAAAATGTCCTCGGATGAGGATTAAAAAAATAATAGTAATAAAGTTTTTCTTTTCTTTGAAAATTTTTTTCTTTATTGATTTTTAGAGAGAAAGGAAGGGAGAGGGAGAGAGAGATAGAAACATCAATGAGAGAGAACATTGACTAGCCGCCTCCCACATGCCCCCCACTGGGGATTAGGCCCATAACCTGGGCATGTGCCCTGACCAGGAATCAAACCGGCAACCTCTTGGTGCATGGGCTGACACTCAACCACTGAGCCACACCGGCGGGGCTAAAGTAAAGTTTTCTGAGAAAACTATCTTTGAGTTGCTTGCCCAATCCTTCCAGGCTTAATGCCAAGTATATTCATATGGAAATAAAGAATTGTTGCTTACTTCCTGTAAACCTAAGTTCTCCACTTTAGCTAAGATCCCCTCCTTTTCATTGGACTAGTTATTAAAAATTCGAAGAACATTTCTTAGAATGCAAAACTAGACATTTTCACAAACAATAATGGGCTTTAACTATATCTGAATGAATCAAACATGGATTTTGGAAATAGAAGCATCTTAAGAGAGTCTTAAAATTTTCTTAGAGTACTAATGACATTTGTAAAGTACTACTAATGGGTATGAATAGTTACTAAACAGTGTTTACATGTATTTGGAGACTAAATACATTCTCTTAAATAAAATGAGCAACACTTTTGATTGTTTAAAATAGTCCTCAATGAAATCACCGAGGTAGGATACAAGAAAATGATCCTTTTCTGTACACATATGCTTTAGAAAAAAAGACATTTTCCAAGCTGAATGTCCTGAAATTAATATTAAACAAGGCAAATTAAATCTCACGGGAGCACCAATATTTCAATCCAGTTACGTGTTCCCTGTCAGCCACGACTCAGAGGGATCACTAACATTTAAGCCAATTTCTATTATTCTTTTAAGAGGATATTAAGATGATGATTGTTTTGAAGTAAGGGCAATCACAAAAACCTTTGAAATACTGTTTTAGTCCATTTCAAATGACATGGCTTTTCTTTTACTTCCTCTGAGGCAAGTCATGAGAATTAATGTTGCTTATAAGCTTATCAAAACCTGATGTGCAATGCTGTTTACCTGACTGGAAGAGAGTGTGAGCTGTGGTTTAAAAGCCCAGATTAATTTTTGCTGGTTATTGTAGTTAAAGCTTCAGCAGTAGCAGAAGCTTTTAATAATTCTACCCACAAGGAAACAGACCTCACAATCTGCTCAAATCTTTGGTTTCTGTGGTGACTACCAGCAACAGGATGCATTAAACTTGCTCAAATCCAGACCAAACCCAGATTGAGTACATATAGATATCTTACTATCAGAAGAGAATGAAGGCAAGTGATGAACCCTCCTTGGGTCTTAGGTTTGCTTCCAGTTGATTATTTGATTGGATGACCAGAATTTCTTAACATGCTGGAGTGAAAATTTATCTATTCTCCCTATTTACAAGCTGCTATGTGCTCTTCCCCCAGGCCTCTGAGGCATTTATTTGCCTTTTCTTTCTTTTCTTAACAATTTTTTTATTATTTTTTAAAAATATTTTTTCTTTATTGATTTTAGAGAGAGAGGAAGGGAGAAAGAGAGAGAAACACCGATGAGAGAGAACATTGATTGGCCGCCTCCTGCATGCCCCCCACTAAGGATTTGGCCCACAACCTGGGCATGTGCCCTGACCAGGAATTGAACCAGCAACCTCTTGGTGCATTGAGCTACACTGGCCGGGCTATTTGCTTTTTCTATGAGCCCTCCAAGTTCTGCCTTCTGGGCAACAGCCATAGTCCTGGCACATCCCTAAGCCTGAGTATTCCCTCCTTACTCCTGCCTTTGGAATAGAAAGCAACTCTTGCTCAGGCAGTGACTAATCCAGAAGGGGGTGATGATGGCTATGGCATGGCTGGTGCAAAAGATACGTCCTCTTACTATGTCCTGCTCTCTTACTATGTCCCGGCTCTCCCTTCACCTATTCCTTTGCTATGATTCTCTTCTTTGCTATACTTATACATTTTTCTCTTGCTTTAATAGCTGGCTCAAGTCCCATAGTATCCATGAAATCTTCCTTAACCATCCTGTCCACAGTGACCTCTCAAGGGACAATGACATAAGTGCCTTGGAGAACCACTTGTCCTTTCAAGTATGAATGTCTTATCTCGCCAGCAAGATGGTACCTAAGCTTTTTGGGCAAAGGCCTTGGGACCTCCTAGAGTTCCAAGCACTGAGTAGGATGAACACACAGTAGGCTTGTATTTGCAGTCAGAATCACATGACTGACTCTCACAGGGATAAACAGACCATAGCACTGTCAGATTATACACTCATGTTTACTAAATAAATAAGCTCAGTGTACTCCTTGATGCTGTAAGACTACAAACTCTATCTCTATAAAACCCAATTGTTAACTTCAATACATCTCTGTCCCTGGGGAACCCCATAGGCTACTTGTCTTAGGGTTCAGAAACCAATGCCCAACTCAGTCACTGAAGACAAATAGAAACAAGGAAGTCATAGAGGCCAGCGGGCCATTATCACTACACAGAATATGACCCCATGCATGCAGACAATGTGGGAGAGTTAAAATTTCAGACTGCAAGAGATCAACTAGTTCAGGATCACCTGGAAGGTCACAGGTAGTGTCCAGGAAGAGAGCTGGGGAGGGGGCTCTATCGTGTAGCAAGAATTTGCCTTACCAAACATGGATTCTTTAGGGTTTCCCTTTCTATATACCTTGTATTGTTCCTAAGAACGCATTCAAAGAACCTGGAAAAGATAGCCTTCATAATTTCATTGGCCAAGTCAGTCTTTGGTCCACTATACTCTCTTATAGAAAGGGAAAAAAAGGACAATAAACAAAAACCAAACCAACAAACAAAAAAACCCCAAAACAACATGCCCACCATCTCGCCCCAAAGAGCTTTTTTTTGAGAGATTCATATTCTACAGATGGACGAACCAGCTGAATCAAAAAGAGAAATCACAGATTTTTCCGAAGCAGTTGATTTCCAGGTAGAGACCACGCTGCAGAATGTGAGATTATCTGGCAACAACTGTTCTTGGGGTTGTGAGGAATAATCTAAACAACTGATATAGTAACTTTGTCCTCCTATCTCTGTCCCTCTCTGTCTGATAACATATGGTTGCATTAATTTGATAAACAATTCATTCAGCTCAATTCAAAGAGCTAATTTTGAATACGGTGGGATAGATATTGTTTTGACAGGAGGAGGCAGCAATTAGGTGGATCCTCGGTACAGGCCTGCCCCATCCCCACCTTGTGGATCTAATTCCCCAGTCTGGGTGGGTATGGCAAGATGGCATATGGAAGCCACTCAGTATTCCTAAGACATTTTGTTTGACTCTGCCAATCCCAGCCCAGTCTGGTCCACTCCCCTAGCATGTGGACTGGAGAGAGGGACTCACCACAGGTTGAGCATTTTCAGGCAGCTACAGAGTGTGTAAAGAGAAAAACACAGAAAGGAAGAGAGAGAAAGAGATATTAGTCCACAGAAGTGAGATGGAAGCAACTCCCTGTGAGCCATGCAAACATGCAGAATGCTGTGCCTGTGTTTAGTTTCTTCCTCTGTCAAGGTAGGGTGAGTAGGCCCAGGCCAGTTGGTCCCCACAGTAAAGTGGAGGGGGCAGGGGCCTGACAGAAGCATCATGATGGGAGCTGGACCTCAGTGAAGGGCAAAGCAAAACAGAAAGAGAGTTGATGGGTGCCCCAGGGTGGGCTTTCCTGGGCAGGTTCCCGGAAAGTAACAGAGAAAGAACAAATGATCCTGCCTATAAGAATTCAAACGAGCACCAAAGCCAAACCTGCATGAAATCTTAGTGTGCAATTTGTTAAGCTAACCCCCCAACTATTCTGAGGGAAAGAAAAGTCCCTAGGCTTTCCATAAGTCCAACATGCCTGACCAAAGCAGTCAGCAGTTAGCTCTTCTTCTAAGGGGGGAAAAAGGCTGAAAAGACACTTCATTTTTCTAGGAGAGGACTCAGAGAAGGGAGGGTCTCTGCTATGAATTAAGGGCCCTGATCCCATTCTTGTTAATTTCAGAGGAAATGAGGCCTGTGTTTGCTAATTTATAGCAAGTCAGTGGATAACCACAAATCCCTGTGTCTTACCATGACAGACGTCAACCAAAAAGCTGCCTTGCTTCACTTTACTACTAATCATACTTAAACAAGGACATGTGTCCTGTAGCTAGAGAAAAAGAGAAGTTAGATATTCATTTTGTATATGGAACAAAAACTAAGACCCTGTAATTTCTCTCCTCCTTTACACAAAACAAGCTGGGTGAGGAACCAAAAACTAAAAGCTTAGAAATGAAGGTTTCCCATAGTCTCCGCAGTACCCTAGTGAATCTCAATATAGGCCACGACCCCTTTTTTCCCCAGAAGCAAGCTACAGGGACAAATGGCATCACAGCTGCGTGTAATGAGGGGTTGTTTGGGACGCCTTGTGCTTCTCTAGCTGTGACTTCTTCCTGTGAAAATGATCAAGCAGGTGGACACATGGCTCCGCCTTACTCCCCCCCATACACATAGAAGGCCGACATATGGCTGTGCCCTGAAAGTTCCCTGGGAAAGACAGATTGGTAGCTCATGAAATCTCTAGGGGAATCAGCACACCACGTGCCCTACGCTATAAGCTTTTGGATGACATTTGGTGAAATATAATTGCTCCCCTCTGGTTTCCACATCTTTAAGACAAACCTGACACTGGTGGCAAAGAGGCACAGTGGTCTTTTTTTGCTAAATGGGGAGACGTTAAACTCTTTTTACATCCTAGAGTTTAGATTACACCAGATTGGAATCTCTTTGTGAATGAACCCCTATCTTATACACAGGACACAAACACCACACCCACATACACAATTAGTGCACACATTTACTGAAATGAAATGAGATGAATGGATTCAAGAGATAAACCTGTTTAGGGTATATTATAAGATTAAAGCCCATTCAATCTTGGTATTCAAAGTATGTTATTAATAGCAGAGCTAAATTTCTAGCTTCAAAGTAATAGCTACAATGGTGAATTGGAAGTGAGGTGGGGGTGGGAATGGGTACAGCCATCTTTCAAGCCCAGACAATGTTTGGATCACACCATACCTAGTGCAGTGGTTCTCAACCCTAGCTATACATTTGAATCACTTCGACTTTACAAATTCCTGATGCTCAGGCCATATTCCAGATAAACAAAATTAGATCACTGGGGCCAGGATTCAGGCATTTGTATTTTCTAACAAGTTCCAGGTGACTCCAAAGTGCAGCCAAGGTTAAGAACCCATAGAGAAGGAGTACCACACTGTTTACTTGGGAGAATCAAGTTTTGTCATGGAAACTTAAAAATTGTGAATACCATTAAAATCTCCAAAGTCCCTGAGAATAGGGAACATGTTTCCTTACTAAAAATAGTCTATTCCTGGCATTAACCACCCCCCTCCCACCCTCCTTATGTGTCAGGGCCTTATATAAACCAGGAGAGGAGCCTACAGTCAGCAGGGACTCGACAGGAGCGACTCTAAGTCATCCTCACTTGCTTTTTATCTACTGGGTGGGAATCCTCAAATCCTGGCTTTCTAAGTAATGGACCTCCTGGAAGCAAAGTGTAGTAGGTGGGAGGAACAACCATGTAGTAGGTGGAGGGAAGAAGAATGCAGGTCTTGACTGGCCTTTCACCACCTTATATCTAGAGGTGTAACCATATTCTGGCTTTTATGTAGATTACTTGGGGGCTCAAGAGACCACTGAGGATGTAGTTTCACTACAAATTTGTTGTCTGCTTCTGAGAACAGGGTACTGGGATAGCCTGAATGTTTGCAAAGGGTTTACAAGAAAAATCATCCACATCAGGCTTGGCAGCAATTACTGATTTGTAAAGGACTTCTCTCTACCTCTTGTCTTCTTGGAGGTTAAACCTGGATCTGAATTTGGGATGGGACAAAAAGGGAAGAAGTGATAGAAATGCTGCTTTTGTAGTAGAATCAGCAGTTATTTCACCTTCAACCCCATATTTTAACAGTTCAAACACAGACCATGCAGAGAGCACCGAGGGGCTGGTGGGATGGACAGGGCAAGACATTCACATGCAAGAGCATCAGAAAGGGGGGGGGGAGGGGCAACTTCTTCACCCTCTTGGAATTAGTGTGATTTCCTTTCCTTCTCAAGACCCTTTCACTCATAGGTATAGATACTACTTTTCTTGCTTATCTGAATCTCTCTGAATCCAGAATCATTTAAGTGAGAACAAAATGGCCCTGAAATCATTGCTGCAGGATTACATATGCAGAGTGGTTAGCCAAGAGCTAGAAATTGCATGCTGTTCAACATAGCCCATGGTTGAGATAGCAGATTTTTCTGTGTTCAATAGGCAGCAAGAAGCCCCAGGGCACCAAGAGGCTCATGACTACTATCTATTGTAGGTCTCCTATCACAATTCTTTTATTTATTATTATTATTTTAAAAATATTTTTTCTTTATTGATTTTTGAGAGAGAGGAAGGGAAAGGGAGAGAGAGATAGAAACATCGATGAGAGAGAACATCAATTGGCCGCCTTCTGCATGCCCCCTACTGGGGATTAAGCCCACGACCCGGGCATGTGTCCTGACTGGGAATCTAACCGGCAACCTCTTCGTGTATGGGTCAACGCTCATCCACTGAGACATACCAGCTGGGCTATCATGATTCATTTTTATTTTTTCCTTTAGTGATATTAGAGAGAGAGAGGGGCAGAGTGAGAGAGAGATAAAAACATCGATGAGAGAGAACATCGAACGGCTGCCTCCTGCATGCTCCTCACTGGGGATTTGGCCCACAACGTGGGCATATGCTCTGACCAGGAATTGAACCAGCAACCTCTTGGTGCATGGGTCGATGCTCAATCACTGAGCTACACCGGCTGATATCATGATTCTTTTAGTTCACTATGTCTTTTGCCTCATGTGGATTAGGAAAATATGATTGTCTTCTGGAAATCACAACTAAAGGGCAGCAGCAGCCTTACAGTACCATGCAAAAAGTAAAATGGTCAGAAGAAAGCTGTGGACACAAGCATGAGGAATTCAGTCTGAGATGAGCAGCACACAGAGAGAAAGAGACAAAGATTTTTCAATCTATGGCTCAAGAGCCCCCTTGAAAAATGAACATACTTAGCTTCTTCCATTACTTCCACCTCGGCGTGAGCTGTGATTGGTGCATTAGAGTGGGCTCCCGTGGGGTCATCGACATTCAGCTCTCCATTGGTTGAGCTAACCACCTGAAACAGAAAGAGGAGGTGTGACAGACACCATGACAATAGGAGCCTCCTGCCAGTGTCAGACAGGGTCACTAAGGGAGATCTGGTCTCTCGCTTAGGTACTAGTCAAGCAGTGTCTGTAATGTTTGTTTTCCTGGGTTGAGGGACCAAAAGTCCTAATTTAGGAAAGGTTCCCAGATCCTATCATGTGAGAACACAAAACTCAATGACATAATCCATAACAATGATAACTTCCATACTGAATGCTTACTCTGTGTCAATGACTCTACTACATTGCGTGTGTAAATTTAATCCTCAAAAAATCCTATTCAACAGGCCATATTACTCTCTTTAATTCTACTTCTCTTAATTTATTATGCTGTAATTATATACAGACTTGGTGATGATGTTAAAAAAGTCTACAAAAGAGATTAAGAGTGGGCACCAGAAACTATACTCAATCACACTTTCCTTCAGAAATTTCTTCATGGCTTTGACTATCAGGTTGAAGTTACTCAAATAACAAGACTGCCATGTCCTGTCTGGTGACAGGGCAGACGGTAAGGAAACGCTTTCCTTTGGAAGACAAGTCTTATTTCAACAACCTTTATTTCAGGTTCAGTGTCATCCCATGTCTCACTGATGGTCCCCGAATTGTAACTGAAGGCTCTCACTCCTGTCATCTGGTTAATGTGGACCCGATCAGGCTTCTCTTGCTTGTGCAGTTGCTTCTGCCACCTGCTTTCATTTCCACACATGATTCCTGTTTATGTGGGTGCTGGGGAGTGGGAAAAGGGACCCCGCTGCACAAACCACTCTGCTGTTAAAGATCTTGGCTGAAACATGGGAGAGAACCACAAAATAGAATAAACGGTTCGGATATTATATGCCCTTGGGTAAGTAACTTCATTTATTAGAGACTGTTTCTCACAGGCTGATGTGAGAATTATACAAGAGAATGTATAAGATGTCTGGTACAATACCTGGTGCACAATAATGGAGGCAGCACAGCACAGTAAATAAGAAATGGGCTCTAGATTCAGTCAGCCCTGGGTTTGAACCCTAGCTCCACCACTTACTTGCTGTGGGTCCATGGGCAAGATCCTCAATCTTTCTGTGCCTGAGCTTCCTAATCTGTAAAATGGGGAAACAATGCTGCTTACCTAATTGGGTTACTGTGCAGACAATCCACAGAAAGTGCTTAGCCCAGTACCATGGTACATAGCAATGGCTCAATAAATGTTCATATTACTGTTATTCTCCCTCTATAAATATTTATTCTTATCTCATCTCCCTCTAGATCTGGGGCCCTTACCGGCAGTTAATTCTTAAAAATGTCCTGTAGTCATAAAGAGGAAGGTGGCAGGAAATGCTTAGTGCAAGGAGTCTTTAGGGTATTTATTCAAAGAAGAAAGGGCAGAGAAGGTGAATACTACTTATTTGCAGTCTATGCCCACCATTATTATGGTGGATGACACCATAAACCAGCAATATTCATTGTCCTTATTAATAATACATGCTTTAAAAAAAATGAAAACAATGCTATATAGTTAAAGAAACCTGTAACAGCCCGGCCAGTGTGGCTCAGTGGTTGAGCATCGACCCACGCACCAAGAGGTCTCCAGTTTGATTCCTGGTCAGGGCACATGCCCAGGTTGTGGGCCTGATCCCCAGTGGGGAGCATGCAGGAGGCAGCCAACTGATGTTCTCTCTCATCGAAGTTTCTAACTCTCTCTCCCTCTAATTTTCCCCCTCTTTCTCTAGTATCAATTTAAAAAAAAATTTTTTTTAAAAGAAACCTACAACATTAAATTTGGACTTACCCAAGGGAGACCCAAATTTCTGTTAGTGGTCCAATTTAACATCTCTGATTGATGGAACCATCCACTCTCATTTATCTCCTGACATGATATAATAAATACTATATAACATTATCTATGTATTCTTGCAAAAAGAAAAGTTTTATCTAAGTATGATGGAAGCAAATAAACAAATCCAAAATGTGGGACATTCTATAGGACAAGACTGGATTCTTCAAAAATGACATGCCTTAACCCTCTCCCCTTTATTATTTTCTAATAAGACAGAAATGACCGTTACAGATTAAAACAGATTAAGAATTCAGAAACCAAGATATTGAAAGAGACAGAAGAGGCAAAACAACTAAATACAATGTATGAACCTTGATTAAATCTGAACACTGTAAAATTAATTTTGGAGACAACTGGGGTAAATGTGGTATGTACTGTACATTAGATATCATGGAATTAGGGCATGTACCTCAGTTGTGGTTCAGTCCCTGGCCCTGGCTGGGGTTGTATGGGAGGCAACCAATAAATTGTCTCTCTCATATCAATGTTTCTCTCCCTCCCCCTCCCTATCTGAAGATAAAATGGAAAAATATCCTCGAGTGAGAATATAAAAAAAATAAATGAATAAATAGTTTAGTGAACACTCCCCCTGGTCCCATAATATCTCACAAAGTGTTAAAGCAAATATCTTGTTAAGCCCTGGCCGGTTTGGCTCAGCGGTTGGAACGTCGGCCTGCGGTGCAGAGAGACCCGGGTTCGGTTCCCGCTGGGGGCACGTGCCTTGGTTGCAATTTGTCCCCGGCCCTGGTTGGTCGTGCAGGTGGCAGCCACTCGATGTGTCCCTTTCACATTGATGTTTCTCTCTCTCTCTCTTCCTCTCCCTCCCTCCCGCTTTATCTGAACAAAAAAATAATGTCCTCGGGTGAGGATAAAAAAAAAAATCTTGTTAAAAAGCAAATCTAGGTTAATTAAGGATATAAACTGATTCATTGCATCTTCTCCCCCAACCCCCAACTTTTCTGTAAATTAAAAAATTTCAAAATAAAAAGTTAGGGAAAAACCAGCAAAAACAAAAGGCGGAGGAGAGAGTTTACAGAATGGAAAACCACAGCTCCTCGAGCTAATGGTGTCCTGTTGATTTCCTCAGCCTACATTTGCTTCTTGTGGATACATTCTGGCTGTGCACTAGTGATAGTACTGTAGGGTCATTCTGTGAGCACAAGGATTAAAGGAGAAATCATAAGTTTCTTCATGAACAATTCAGCAACTAGGCAAGATGTTAAATAAAGTGTCTTGGCCTCCACTGACATGAACAAAGCAGGAGTAAGCACCACTACGCGAATTACCTGGTAACTCTGGGTCATGGTGCCTGCTCATGACATTTTACATGTTTCATACTCTCTAACTTCTCCTTCCTATGAAGGCCCACAAGCAATGTAGTTGGGCAACCAAAAGAAGAGATTATCCTCACTTTATAGTCTGTATCAAAGAGAATTTGGTCTCAAATGAATCAAGCACAAATGAGAACCTTAACACCAGTTATCTAACCTTAAACTTAAACTTAACTGCACTTTAAGAATCAATCTGGGCCTTCAGGGCATCCAGTTAATTATTTCACGATGGAGGTATAGTTTGTCAAACCACTGAACTGCTGCCTATGTGTGCAGTGTAAAAAACACTAGTGTAGGTGACCAAAGAGCTGGATTCCAGGCTTAGCTCTGCCATACATCCTCTGCGGGTCCTAGTTTCTAATTCTGTTAGACTATGCCAACAGCCTTGGTCTTATCAATCTCATAATTACAAAGTTAAGTACAATGATATATAATAAAGCAATCTGAAAAACTGTAAAGACACTTATGAATATAATAAATTATTAGTTTTTAAACAATATAATTTTTAGCCCTGGCCGGTTTGGCTCAGCGGTTAGAGCGTCGGCCTGCAGTCCAGAGAGACCCGGGTTCGGTTCTTGCTAAGGGCGCGTACCTCGGTTGCAGTTTGTCCCCGGCCATGGTTGGGTTGTGCAGGTGGCAGCCACTCGATGTGACCCTTTCGCGTCGATGTTTCCCCCCCCTCTCCCTCCCACTCTATCTGAACAAAAAATGGAAAAATGTCCTCGAGTGAGGATTAAAAAATAAATAAATAAAAAATAAACAATATAATTTTTATACTTTTTCTATTAATTTTTTTTAGTATAACTTCATTTTTAAAAATCTTCATTTCTATATCTGGAATACTGATACTTATTTTGCCATACTCACTATTAAAATTAATCCCACATTCTTCTGCCTGTATCACACAAGAACAAAGTAATTAATATCATATGGGATTATCCATGAAAGAGACTAAGGTGAAGTACTATTCTGAACTTTAGTCCTTAATGTTGATAATATCCCATTTGGAAGCCTCAAAAATTGGAACTATTGTTTAGTCCCATTTTAAAAAATATTAATGTGAAGAAGCCCTGGCTATTGTGGCTTGGTTGGTTGAGGATCATTCCATACACCAAGAGTTGCTAGTTCAATTCCTGGTCAGGGCACATGCCCAGGTTGTGGGCCACATCTCCAGTGGGGGGCGTGCAGGAGGCGGCCAATCAATGTTTCTCTCTCATTGATGTTTCTGTCTCTTCAGCTCCCTTCCACTCTCAAAATCAATAAAAAACATATTAAAAAATATTAATGTGAAAACTCAGAGCTGTGAACCAAAAAAAGAAGTGCTTTAGCTCATCAATACTTCAATCCTATTTCTCACAACATATTTAGTAATTCTCTACTTTAGTTTCCCTATCTATAATACTGACCTCAATAAGAATTGTAAATAATTAAAAATAATAAATATTTGAGCAAAATAAATATTGGCTAAATGTAAAATGTCATTCTTAAGTCGTAGGCCCTGGATAGGTCCTACATATGTATAAATATTTCCTATATGTTTTTATTTTTAAACAACTTTAGAGTCACTTTTTTTTTTTTTAAATCCTCACCCAAGGACATTTTTGTGCTTTTTAGATAGACTTGGAGGGAGATAGGGAGGAAGAGAGAGAGAAATATGGACATGAGAGAAATATCAATGTGAAAGAGACACATCGACTGGTTGCCATCCACACAACCCCAACTGGGGCCAGGGACAAACTGTAACCGAGGTATATGCCCTTAGCAGGAACCAAACTTGGGACTCTCTGGTCCGCGGGCCAACAGTCTAGCCACTGAGCCACATCGGCCAGGCTATTCACTCATTTTCATAGCGCACATCCTCTTATAGCTTCATAAAAAGGGGTGCATGGAGAGTAAAATTTTTGAGACATTATATTTCTGAAAATATCTTTAGTGATAGTTTGGCTATGAAATTCTAGGTTGAAAATAATTTTTTCCCTTAGAATTTTGAAGACATTATTCATTGGCTTCTAGCTTCCAGTATTATCATTCAGAAATTTGAAGCTACACTAAATCCTGATCATTTCTTTGCACATGACTATTTTCTATTTCTGAAGCCTGAAGGAGTTTCTCTTTGTCCTTGGTGTTCTGAAATTTCACAATGATATACCTTGATATGGTTGGTTCTATCTTCCATTATGGTGGGCACTTTGATCTAGAAGCAAGTCTTTATGAGTTCTGGGAAATTATTTTAATGATTTCCTCCTCTTTACTTTCTGTTCTCACTCTGGAACTCCCATTATTTAGAAATTGAACCACTTGGACTCTCCTTAAATCTTAATATTGTTTTCTACTATTTTCATCTCTCTGTCTCTCTCTTTTTTAAAAATATGTTTTTACTAATTTTTTAGAGACAGAGAAATATTGATGAGAGAGAGAGAGAGAGAGAGAGAGAGAGAGAGAGAGAGAGAGATAGATTGGCTGTCTCCTGCACGCCCCTCACCGGAATCAAGCTCACAACCCGAGCATATACCCTGTCTGGGAATTGAACCAGGACATCTCAGTCCATGGGACGACGCTCAATCCACTGAGCTGCACCAGCAGGGCTCACCTCTCTGTCTCTTTGCTCTACTTTCTGGGAGACTTCCTCACAATTTTATATTCCAAACTACTGAGTTTAAATTTTTTGTTTATGTTTTTACTTTCCAAGAGCTCTTTTCTTGTTTGTTTGTTTGCTCTGAGAGTATTCCTTTTAAAAATAGCATTCTGTCCTTGCTTCATAGTTATAGTATCTTCTGTTTCTGAGGATATTTATAATAAGGTGGGTTTTTGTTGTTGCTGTTGGTTGCTTTGGTTTCTATTAAAGGCTTTCCTCAGATGTCCCATAATCTTTGATTGTCTGCTCATATGTAAAAGTGAGAGATTGCAACTTTAATTTGCACTTTGAGTACAGGGTGGAACTTCTAAAGTATGGATCTCACTGCAGAATGCTGTGACTGGGCCATTTCATTAGGGAAACCCTTTTGTCGGTATGCTCAGATGTTTTCTTTTGGGCTGGTCAGATTCCCCAGAGTCAACTCAATCTTCTGCCTGGAAGGTACATACCTGGCTATCAGCATTCTGAAGGACTAAATGGGGAAAGCAGGCAGCCAGTATGCATACATTCATTTAATCTCCTTTTTTTTTTTTTTTTGTTTAATCCTCACCACAAGATATTTTTCTATTTATCTTCAGACAGAGTGGGAGAGTGGCAGAGAGGGAGAGAGAGAGAAACATCTATGTGAGAGGGACACATGGACTGGCTGCCTCCTGCATGACTCCAACCCGGGCAGGGGATGAACCACAACCAAGGTACATGCCCTTGATTGGAATCAAACCTGCGAGTCATTGGTCCTCGGGCCGACTCTCTAACCACTGGGTCAAACTGGCCAGGGTTAATCTCCACTTTTTATCAGGCTAGCACTCTGTCCCCAAAGGTTCCTCATATCCCCTAATCCAGAGATCCTCTATTTTGCCTTTTTAAGAATAAATCTTTGAAAAAAAAAATCTTGGGTCTTTGCTGAGGAGGGGGAAGAGCATCTAGGGATCTCTCTGGCTTCTTAAACAGACTTCTTTTAAAAAAATTTTTTTTCTTTATTGATTTTATTTTTTATCCTCACCGCAGGACAATTTTTCCATTTTTTGTTCAGATTGAGTGGGAGGGAGAGAGCGTGTGAAGGAGAGAGAGAGAGAGAGAGAGAAAGAGAGAGAGAAAGAGAAAGAAACATCCACATGAAAGGGACACACTGAGTGGCTGCCACCCACACGACCCAACCAGGGCCGGGGACAAACTGCAACCGAGGTATGTGCCCTTAGCGGGATCCGAACCCTGGTCTCTCTGGACTGCAGGCCGATGCTCTAACCACTGAGCAAAATTGGCCAGGGCTTCTTTATTGATTTTAGAGAAAGAGTAAGGGAGAGGGAGAGAGAGACAGAAACATCGATAAGAGACAACATCGACTGGCCACCTCCTGCATGCTCCCCATGTAGGGGAGCCCACAACCTGGGCATGCGTCCTGACTGGGAATTGAACCAGTGACCTCTTGGTGCATGGGTCAACACTCAACCACTGAGCCACACCGGCTAGCCGGGCTTAAACAGACTTTTAACCAATCTTCATTATTTTAGCACATGCCTCTCCACACATACCTCCCCCTTATAGAAGGCTAACTTTTGAGTCTTCTAGGGATTCCTCAATGTAAACAGGCTCTCAGCTTTTCCCTCTACTGGCACAGGATTCAGTTTTCTTAAGAATCCTAAGTTATTTAGTAACTGCTCATCTGCTTTCCAGCTTCTAACATTTTGTGGCTGTTGCCTCCTCTTCTATTTTCTCCAATCTTATACAAATTTATGCCTTTAAAAAATTGTTTTATCATTCTTTTAGTGTTGTTTCAGGAAGGAGTGAGAGTAGATTTGTGTGTTCAATCCATCATTATTTTTACTTAGATGTTTCTGTGAGGTTTTTATAGGGCCAAAGCTGTCTCCTAACTTCCCATCTCCTAACTTCAGTGAATCAACTCCATGTAAAAGCATATTGTAGATTACCAAGCCTATCAAGATGCATTTCTATGTGCAAAAGATTCGTCTACCCCTATATAAGAATTTCTGTTTGCTAGCTTTGGGTTCACCTATGTGCCCCAGTTGGTGGTGTCACTTAATATGAGAAAAACATTTTAGTGAAGATTATTAAGACAGGGGTGGGGGTTTGGGAGGAGACAAATCAAAGAATTTACATGCATATATGCATAACCAATGGACACAGATAACAATTTGAGGAAAGCAGGAGTTAGGTGGGAGCAGGGAGGAGGGGATCAATGGGGGGAAAAGGGAAGACATTTGTAGTACTTTCAACTACAAAGATTAAAAAAAGATGTTTAAGAGACTGACGTAAGAAAAGTTAAGAGATACAAGTACTTCTTAAGTATTAGAGAAAATAGAGATTCAAAATAGTCGAAATGAAGTCAGAAAGAATTCTCCAAAACCACATTTATTCCAGGAGAAAAAAGAAATAGCCCAACTTACTTGGGTACCCACTCAGAAATAGCTGACTTGGACTAAAGTACATATTATTGTGGAATGAGCTGCATATGCAGTCCCCTATTAAAAAAAATAATTTTATCCATTTTAGGTCCTTACAATTCACAGACTTGACACTAACACACATCTATCTTTACGTTATTTTTATGGTTTATCATGAGTGGATCAAGGTTGTAGAACTAGTTGAAGCAAAAATCAGTATCAGAAACCAAAGACATTTCTTAGTCAATGACAATAACTAGCAGTCATCTCAACAAATGACTCTTACAAGTCCATGTAGGCAGAAAATTAGCACACAGATAGTTACCTATAGAAGCACCTCAACCTTGCTATAAGTTTCCATTCTAAAGGAACCTGAATTTCAGAAGAAAATCAACATTCTACCAGCCAAGTTAGGAAGGCCAGGAAAAGGCAGTAAAGGCAGTAAGTACCTGCACTGATCCCCCATGGCGGTCTGCAGCCAAGTGAGACGTCAGGTATGAGGTATTGGTCTGCCGGCTGGGCTGGATTTCCCACTCTCCTCGGCGCTCTGATGATGCAGTCTGCTCAGGCATTAGGAAGCATGAGAGCAAGATATGGAATGAAAGGTGAAGCAATAGCAAGCAATAACAAATCAAGCACATTTAGTGTCCCTGAGGGTTTTTTTGTTTTGGATTTTAAATTAACAACTACTACAAAACACTGGGGAAAAGTTAGCTTGGCTACATTCATTTCAGCCTAATGCGCCCATACATGACAGTCTACAACACACTGTCCTCACACCAAGACACAGAAAATAAATTCACCAAAAGAGGAAATAAAAAACATCGAAAGTTGAAATCACCACCTTTTAGCTTCCATGTTTGTAAAATTTTGGTAGCCACTAGGCAGAATGTTAAGACTGTTGAACAAAGGAACAATCATATTTGCAAATCATTTCCCTGACTAAAGAACAATCTAAATAGATATCAGTCAATACAGAAAATTACTGGCACTAGGAATCAAGATAATATGCCTTTTCCTTAAGTAGGGAACATAAGTATTCTCAACATAAACCTCCATGAGATTTCAACCTAGACAAAATGAGCTTTGGCAGTGGCTGGAATATGCTTTCTTGGCTAAAAGAAGGAACAAAACATCTAATCAAAAGCAAGGTCACAGGTCAAGAATATGAAAGATGGAAGAAAAATAAGACTACCAGCCCTGGCCGGTTTGGCTCAGCGGTTAGAGCATCAGCCTGCGGTCCCGAGAGACCCGGGTTCGGTTCCCGCTAAGGGCATGTACCTTGGTTGCAGTTTGTCCCCGGCCCTGGTCGGTCGTGCGGGTGGCAGCCACTCGATGTGTCCCTTTCACATCGATGTTTCTCTCTCTCTCTCTCTCTCTCTCTCTCTCTCTCTCTCTCTCTCTCTTCCTTTCTCTCCCTCCCACTCTACCTGAACAAAAAATGTCCTCGGGTAGGGATTAAAAATAAAAAATAAGACTACCATGTTTTCTTTTTCTGTTTCTTTTTTTTGTAATACATGCCCCTAGTGGGAACCGAACCTGGGACTCTCTGGTCCGCAGGCTGATGCTCAACCACTGAGCCAAACTGGCCAGGGCTACCATGTTTTCTTAATTCCTTTAGTTAACAGTATCTAGTCTAGAATTACAAAAGTTTAGCTACGAACATTATGAATTATTTTCTCCTAGAAAGCAAAAGGCAGATCTTATCCAAGCAAAATGAAAGCTTTCAAATCAAAACTCTTTTTGGGTTGTGCATTCACCTTTGCTAGCATTTAGACCAGCGGTTCTCAACCTGTGGGTTGCAACCCCTTTGGGAGTCGAACAACCCTTTCACAGGGGTCGCCTAAGACCATCAGAAAACAGATATTTCTGATGGTCTTAGGAAGCAAGACACCGCTCCTCTATCCGTCTCCAGGTGGGTCCGCCCACATGCAGATATGCCCACATACAACATGAGCAACTGTATTAAAGGGTCATGGCATTAAGAAGGTTGAGAACAACTGATTTAGACTCTCTCTACCTGTTTTAGATTTCACACTACTCTGATCTTGCTCATATGTGACTTTTGTTCTGAAGACTCTGTTTAGGTGCCTCTTCCCCTGTGCCAGATGGCTGAGGAGGTGACAGCATCATGATGCTCAGCTATACCAGACCTAAGGCTCTATAAAATGAAAAACGAAGAGTCGGAGAGGCAGCAATGAGGGATTAGTAAATCAAATTTTAACCAATGATGATGTAAACAGCAGCAGGGGTTGAGATATGATATTGCTGCTCTGCATGAGATCAGTAAGAATTCTATAAATCTTAGAAATGTTCAAAACTATAAATGCTGTATTCTTTTAAAAAAAAAAAAAAAAAAAAAAAAAAAAAAAGCCCTGGCCAGTTTGGCTCAGCGGTTAGAGCGTTGGCCTGCGGTCCGGAGAGACCCGGGTTCGGTTCCCGCTAAGGGCACATACTTCGGTTGCAGTTTGTCCCCGGCCTTGGTTGGTCGTGCGGGTGGCAGCCACTTGATGTGTCCCTTCACGTCGATGTTTCTCACTCTCTCTCCCTTCCTCTCTCTCCCTCCCACTCTATCTGTACAAAAAATGGAAAAATATCCTCGGGTGAGGATTAAAAAAAAAAAAAAAAAAAAGGAGTGACAAAATAGTGGTTTAAGCCTCCAAGTTCCCTCTCCCCTTTCTATTGAAAAGAGTTGTTTAAAGCTCACCTATAAATCACCAAAAACGCTTTTCTTCTTTTTTTTTAAAAAAGCCTCACAGGCCCAGCCATTGTGCCTTAGTGGTTGTGTTGACTCATGCACCAAGAGGTCACAGGTTCGATTCACAGTCAGGGCACATGCCCAGGTTGTGGGCCAAATCCCCAGTGGGGGGCGTGCAAGAGGGGGCCAATCAATGTTCTCTCTCACTGATGTTTCTATCTCATCAATGTTTCTTTTCTCCCTCTCCCTTCTTCTCTCTCTGAAGTCAATAAAGACAAAAAAGCCTCACAGCCGTGGCCAGTTCGGCTCAGTGGTTAGAGCATTGACCCACATACCAAAGGGCCTTGGGTTCGATTCCTGGTTAAGGTCACATATCTGGGTTACAGGTTCGATCCCCGGCTATGAGAGGCAACCAATCAATGTGTCTCTTTCATATTGATGTTTCTCTCTATCCCTCCCTCCCTTCTACTCTATCTAAAAATAAATAAATAAATAAACAAACAAACAAACATCCTCCGGTGCCCAGGCAGTGTGTCTCAGTGCTTGAGTGTCAGCCCATGCACCAAGAGGTTGCCAGTTTGATTCCTGGTCACGGCATGTTCCTGGTTTACGAGCTGATCCCCAGTGGGGGGCATGCAAGGAGGCAGCCAATTGATGTTCTCTCTCATCGATGTTTCTATCTCTGTCTCTCCCTCTCACTTCCCCTCTCTCTAAAATCAATAAAGAAAAAAAAAATATCCTCGGGTGAAGATTAAGAAAAAAATAAAAAATAAAGATAAAAAAAATATATACTCACTTATCAGCTATAACTTACTCATCTTCTTTGTTAATGAAATATGAAGTCATATGGGCAACAGTACTATAGAGGATCCTGGCCATGATTTCTAATGTTCCTCAGGGAATGAGCATATTTTGTAAAAAGGCAACTGTATTACTTTGCTTGATATATACTCTTACAAAAGGGGGGTTTGGTTTTATACTGCTAGTCACATTTCAGAGAATCAAAGCTACCCAAAACATACCTACGCTCCTCCAATTATTTCTGCCAACAGAGATTTATTTTTATTTTTTGTAATACTGAAGTAGAATATTTAAGCTTCTAAACTACTATACAGAACTGTCAGTTCTCAAAAAATTGAAATGCTTAAAAAATATCCAGACATTTATAAGCCACTGGTTTTGAGTTCTATGTTGTTTTAAGCTCTATGATACATGTTCAATGAGAGTGCTTCTCTCATGAATGCTCTCTGTCTTGCCTTTATTTTTAAAGCTGATAAAATTGAAAATGGCAAGAAATGTACATAAAACACCCACGTTTTTTTTTTTAATCCTCACCCGAGGACATTTTTCCATTTTTTTGTACAGATAGAGTGGGAGGGAGAGAGAGGAAGAGAGAGAGAGGGAAACATCGATGTGGAAGGGACACATTGAGTTGCTGCCACCCGCACGACCAACCAGGGCCGGGGACAAACTACAACCGAGGTACGTGCCCTTAGCGGGTACTGAACCCGGGTCTCTCCGGACCGCAGGTGGACGCTCTAACCGCTGAGCCAAACCGGCCAGGGCAAAACACCCACATGTTTTTAAGCTTAACAAAACCTAGGACAGCTGATCAACTATTATTTCTTTCTCTCTTTGGCATTGATTTTGTTTTATCTGTTTAATAGCTAGGAGTCATTCCAGGTCATGTCTGATAAATAAAGTGGGAGATCATTTTATCAAAACAAAAAGTGTGTGCTCTAAAGTAATAAGGATGATATTCTTCTGTTTCATGTGAATAAGGTGTACTGAAAGATATTCCTGATCAACTATCATTTCAATCTTTACTGAAATACACATCAGAAGTCTGATTTGATAATACTGTCTGATTCACGGGGCTGTGTGCTTGTTTATATTCATTCTAAACAAGTTGTTGGAAGAATTTAGATTTCTGTCCAAACGAAAATAGGAAACCATTTTTCAAAGAACTAAAAGTGATACTCCATTTCCATCCTCAAAGCAATGGGCTACTTATCTTTAAAAGAGAGAAAGATAATGCTAACATTCCTGATTACTAAGAAATTAATTATATACCACTGCCAGTGAATTTTGGAGTAATTAATTGTCCAGCATTTCTTATTAGATGTGGACATTTCTGCTTTTTGTTGTTGTTTTCAAGGATGGAATGAAATATATTATTTGTACTAACATTACCAATTGTTTCATAAATGCTTCCACTGGGACAAAGTAAAACATACTGTACCATACGACTGCATTCCAATGCCTTCTATATCCTCTGAAAGCAATAAAATCAAGTGAACGTGAACCTGGGGTTGATGGGTTTATTACTTCAGTAATTACCTTTCATCATAATGCTAAACTCTATGGCTATTCTGTTTTGGAATTTAAGGGCTTGGATTGGTATCTAAAAGTTGATGTAGGAGCAAGGGCCATTTGCCAATTTCAGAAAACAACTCAGTGCCTAGGAGCCAGATGAAACCAAGGAATGTCAACAACTACAGTATTCTGCTAGTGTACCTTCCTCTGAAAGGTATTCTAAGCAATGCTGTGTATATAGGGGTATTGATTAGGCATAATCAGCACAGTAGTTATGCTAAGCAAACCAAAACAGAAAATCGACATGTATAACCTTCCCTCTTAAAGATCACTCATGCACATGTGTCAATCTAAAAAGCTATCAGGAGTGTGTACGTGTAGAAAAGTCATTCAGAAAAAATCAATCTCTGTCCATTATTGGAAAGGCAATGGTCCATATGGAGTGTGTGAATTCCTAAAGGCAGGAACATGAATCTCAAGCAGTGGGAATTCCTTGAGGGGACACTTTAAAATCTTCAGCTGTGACTGTATTACCTGTGTGGAAAG